GTGTGTGTGTGTGTGTGTGTGTGTGTGTGTGTGTGTGTGTGTGTGTGTGTGTGTGTGTGTGTGTGTTGGTGCACATGTGCACATGCACGCACTGATAGTGGGACTTGAACTCATGGTTTGGGAGCTGTCCCTGGACTTTTGTGCTCAAGGCTAGAGCTCCACTACTTGAGCCATAGCTCCACTTCCACCTTTCTTAGTAGTTAATTGGAGGTAAGAGTCTCACAGACTTGCCTACCTGGGCTGGCTTCAAACTGCAATCCTCAGATCTCAGCTTCCTGAATAGCTAGGATTATAGGTGTGAGCACCAATGCCTAGCAGTTACTTTTACAGGCCCAAAGGGGATGGAGAATTAGAAACTCTTTGTCCTATAGCTCTTCTTATTCCTTCGGCTCTGTGTTTCAGGGAACTGGACCCCATCCTTACTGAAGTCACTCTAATGAATGCCCGCAGTGAGCTGTACTTACGCTTCCTCAGGAAGAGAATCAGTTCAGATTTTGAGGTGGGGGACTCCATGGCCTCCGAAGAAGTAAAGCAAGGTAAAACATGTTTCTCATATTCTGTAAACCACAGATCTCTTGCTAAGGAAATAACAAAGCCTCAGTGCATCTCTGGCCAACTTAACTCTAATCATTTTATTTAAGTTTTTTTTTTGAGATATGTACAGGTTTTAAAGAACCTGTACAATGCCAGGCACTGGTGGCTCATGCCTATAATCCTAGCTACTCAGGAGGCTGAGAGCTGAGGATCACAGTTCAAAGCCAGCCTGGTCAGGAAAGTCCATGAGATTCTTACCTCCAATTAACCACCAAACAAGCCAGGAATGGAGCTGTAACTCAAGTGATAGAGTGCCAACATTGAGCAAAAAAGCTAAGGGACAGAGCCCTGTATTCAAGGACCAGTACCAGCCACATAGTGAGACCCTGTTTCAAAATAAAACAACTATTCAATACAAAGAAAGCCTTCCACTCAACTCCTTTTTCAGTGTTCCCGGTCTACAAGTCACAAATTTTGAAGAGGTAAGTGATATTTAAAAAAGATAAGACAGGGTAATGTCATTAATAGTTCTCCAGGGTTATTGTTTTGAGATCAGGTCTCATTATGCCTCGGCTGTTCTCGAATTCTCAACACCTTCTCCCACCTCAGCCTCTTCAGTAGCCTGGTCTAATGCTACTGAACCTTGCTGACTGCTTGAGTTTTTTTTCTTTTCCTTTCTTTTTTTGCCAGTGGTGGGCTTGAACTCATGGCCTGGGTGTTGTCCCTGAGCTTTTTCACTCTAGGCTAGCATTCTACCACTTTGAACCACAGCACCATTCCAGTTTTCTGGTGGTTAAAGAGTCTTATGGCCTTTCCTGCCCAGGCTAGCTTCAAACCAGCCTTCTGAGTAGCTAAGATTACAGGCATGAGCTACTGCTGCCTGGCTCTGTCCAGTGGCACATACCTATATCCTCAGTTACTCCAAAGGCTAAGGCAGGAGGTCTCTTGAGCTCAGGAGTTTAGGGTCAGACTAAACCACATAAAGTACTGTGATTATAGCCAAGTAATATATGAATCTGTTTGGGAGGAAGATTAGAAGAGGACATGAATAAAAGTGAAAATGTTACTCCCTTGCCCTTGGGGAAAAAAAGTGAATATTCGGGCTGGGAAGGTAGCTCAGTGGTAGAGTGTTTGCCTCACATGCATGAGGCCCTGGGTTCGATTCCTCAGCACCACATAAACTGAAAAGAGCTGGAAGTGGTACTATGGTTCAAGTGGTAGAGCACTAGCCTTGAGCTGAAGAGCTCAGGGACAGTGCTCAGGCCCAGAGTTCAAGCCCCATGACAGACAAAAACAAAAAGAAAAAAAAGTGAATATTCCTTTCTTGGCTATTCCTAGAGCACCAGAAGTGCCTGGACAAACTGCTCAATAATTGCCTACTGAACTGTACCATGCAAGAGCTAATTGGCTTATATATTACCATGGAAGAGTACTTCATGAGGGAGACTGTTAATAAGGTAGGACACAGAACACATCTCTTACAAATGAGGCTGCCATCTAAGAAACCAAGTTGAAGGAAATGATTGAGGCTTGTCATGTTTCTTGATTCTGCTCTGAAAATATCTCTGCATGCATGCATGCATGCATGCAGACTGCGAGGCATTGCTTTATATAGTAAGAGGAGTCTTTGGAGTTATCATACTTTGCATATACCCAGCTAAGACTTCTAGCATTACAATAAACCCAGCTCAGCTCCCCATGGAATCTACTTGTTCCCTGCCTCCATCTCCCTATAGGTATGTGGATGAGGAATCCCTCTTAGTGTAAGTAGCCTCTCCTATGTCCAACCTCCTAAGTAATGGATGTTCCCAAGGCTAAGGCCTTAAATACTAAATTTCCTAATGTAGTGTTCAGTAGAGGCTAGAATAATATGGGAAAGGTATAGAGGCTAGGAAAAATACGGGAAAGGTATAGAAAAAGGTGCAGAACCAGGACTAATGAACCAAAGCCATGTAGAATGTGTAGAACTAGAATGTTTACTGAGTATTTTACCTTTGGATAGGCTGTGGCCCTGGATACCTATGAGAAGGGCCAGTTGACATCCAGCATGGTGGATGATGTCTTCTACATCATTAAGAAGTGCATTGGGCGGGCTCTCTCCAGCTCTAGCATCGACTGTCTCTGTGCTATGATCAACCTCGCCACCACTGAACTGGAAGATTACTTCAAGTATGGCTGATTGGCTTTCTAGGCCCAAATGTCTTAGTTATAGTTGATTACTGTGACCCATTTGTTTCTTCTCTTTTTGCTTATGATTTTTTTTTAAGTTTCGCAGGATTTGTTTTAGTAATAAACGGTAAAGATGGGGAGAAATGGGAGAAACATTTCCTGCTCCCCATGCAGAAATGGGAATTAAAGATGCTGCTTATGATTCACTACACCTCCTCCTTAAACACTAGTTGGATATAGTGATACATGCCTGCCATTCTATCTTATGTGGGATCAGGATGGTCATAGTTCTAGGCGAACCCAGGCAGGAAAAAACAAAAGTCCATGAGAATCCATCTCAGTGGGAAAAACTGTGGGCACATGCCTGTCATGACAGCTACTACAGAAAGCCTAAAATAGGTGGATCATGGTCCAGGCATTCTTCTTGGCAGGAAATAAGACCCTATCTCAAAAATAAGTGCAATAAAGGCCTGGAGCCATGGCTTAGCAGTAGAGCACATGGCTAGCAAGCATGAGGCCCTGAGTTCAAACCTCAGTATCCCTCACCAAAAACCTTGCCATTCTCCTCTGTATATACTTATCTTAGTGGTCTTGAGGAAGCATTGCTCACTGTCATACCCAGACTCCTGAGAGGTGTCCTACAGTGGTCTCTAGGATTGGTTATCTCCCCCAAAAGAGCAACTGGAGCAGCTAGAGCACAGAAAGGGTGCTTAGCCCTGCTGTCCAAAAGCCAGGTTGCGCATTATCACTCTACATGTGTCATCCTGCCTCCCCAGGAATGTTCTGCATAACAAGCTACGGATGGGCTTCCCAGCCACCACCTTACAGGACATCCAGCGCGGGGTGACCAGTGCTGTGAGCATCATGCACAGCAGCCTTCAGCAGGGAAAATTTGACACCAAAGGCATTGAGAGCACTGACGAGGCCAAACTGTCCTTCCTGGTAGGTGGCCCCACAGGTTGGAGTTGGGTTTCTCTAGAAAAGTTAAGCTGTGGACTGGGTAGGTCAGCTTCGAGCATTTGCCTGGCAGGCATAAGGTCCTGCATTCAATCCCCAGCTGCAGAGAGGTTAAATTATGACCTCTAAGCTACACTGTAAGAAGTTCCTCCTAGAAGGTTCTAACACCCTTTCTTACCTAGGAACCTATTCTGAGTAGCCAGAGCCAGGATATACACTTGTCCCTGCAAGAAGCTAAGGCTCCTCAGCTTTCCTGAGTGCTTCTTCCTAAGACCTCTACCCAGCTGTTCAAGGGCCCCTCAGTATTTGGCTTGCCAAGCATCTGTCACAAGACCAATCTGTAACATCTATACCAAGCCTTCATATTGCTTCTGTAAGAAAAGGCCCAAGGTATTGGTGGCTGTCAATCCTTTAGGCCTACCAAGACTAGTTTTCTGTCAAGTTCTTCTGGAAGGAGTCTCTACTGAAGACCTTAGCACTGGGCATGGTAGCCCACCCATAAAGGGCAACTCTGGGCATGGGCGCTGTCCCTCAGCTCTTCAGCTCAAGGCAAGCACTCTACCACTTGAGCCACAGCACCACTTCTGGCTTTCTGGTGGTTTATTGGAGATAAGATTCTCAAGGAGGAAGTGGCGCTGTAGCTCAAGTGGTAGAGTGCTCGCCTTGAGTTGAAGAGCTGAGGGACAACGCCCAGGCCCAGAGTTCAAGCCCCACGACCGACAAAAAAAAAAAAAAAGATTCTCAAGGAGTTTCCTGCCCGGTCTGGCTTTGAAATATGATCCTCAGATCTCAGCCTCCTGAGTAACTAGGATTACAGGTGTGAGCCACCAGCACCCAGCTGTCACATACTTTCTTGACATGAAGGAAACAGTGCTGTCACAGGCTTATTGTACTCCATCCTCCACACTGACTAAACTCTCAGTTTAGCTCCTAAAGTTCAGAGGCTAGAAGAACCATCCAATAACAGGACATAAGCAACAGTCCACAGAGTATATACATTTTTCTAGAAGAAATCCTTAGCTTCTATCAGATTCTTACAGCCAACTGTTCTGGCTGTTGTTTTCAGAGCCTAGGCTTACTAATATCTCATCTGCGAGCAGGGGAACCACAGTAGTCCTTAAATAGATCCAACATGAAGGCTGCTTCAGTGAAGCCACTATCTTCCTGGCATTGAAAATGCTTTCCTTGGGCATGAGTTCTATCCATCTGGGATGCCATAGTTTTCTCCCCACCAAAAAGGAAAATCAGCTCCAAGAACTGTTTGCCTCTGAAATGTGGTACCTTTGGAGAACTCTGACAAAATTTCCAGCATCATATGATCATGAACTGACAAACTTTTTTTATTTTGTTTACATTTTTCCCTCATTTCTGTGCTCAGAAGCTTTCATTGGCTTCTTGCAACCTACCATATCAAAGCTAAATATCTTTGCTTGGTTGGTTTTGTGTGTGTATGTGTGTGCATGCATGTACATACACATCCTAGGACTTGAACTCAGGGCCTGAATGCTGTCCCAGGGCTTTTTTTTTTTTTTTTTTTTTTTGTGCTCAAGGCTAGTACTCTACTACTTGAGCCACATCTCCACTTCTGGCTTTTTGGTTAGTTGATTGGAGGTACAAGTCTCACAGAGTTTCCAGCCCAACCTGGCTTCGAGCCACAGTCCTCAGATCTTAGCCTCCTGAGTAGCTAAGATTACAGGAGGGAGCCACCAGCACCAAGCAGTTTGGTTGTCCTTTAAGTCCTCCTAAACCTTCTGCCTTCCTGTTTTCCATCCAGTCCTATTTTCTACCACTGGATCACCCATGTCCACAAGGCTGGCCAGTGTGCCTTTGCTTAATTTGTTGGTCCATTAGGGCCCTCCATTCAGAAGGTTTTATTGTTGGAAAGGAATAGAAGATAAATCCAAAAAGAAAAGTGATGCTAAATACTTGGTGACAAGATTTCTAGTTTTCCTAATACCAAGCACTTAAAATGTCATCTCTCCCAACACATGGTCTATTTTATGACATTTTGATTCCTTTGGCTGTCAAGATAACTTCACCAACTGTACTGACATATCATTTGCCAGAAGCAGGGAATAAGCCCAATGAGTCCATGCTTACAAGGACTGTCAATACAAGGGAAACTTTGAAATCAATACCATTTGAGCCCAATCCATTTTTTCCTCCTGACAACTATTCTTAGTGCCCTAAGTGCCTTGGAAACATTTATGTTGCAGCCTTCATCCTTCTGCAGTTATGACAGTGCAGTTATTTCCCTGGAAACTTGTGATGTTTGCTGGTTTTTATGTGCCATCTTTAGCTTTACCCATCTGCACTCAGTAGCTAAGCAGCACCAAGAGCAGCATGATTCTTCAACATTGACTGTGGGATGCCAGCATGAGATCTGAGCATCCCACCTAATCACAGTGATGCGGGCTTTTGTGAGCCGAGTCTAGCCAGCCGTAGTCGGACCCAAAGGGAATGCAACTATCAGCCAGTCTGGCCATTGGAGTAGACAGCGTACCCAGTAAGTAGGATGTCATGTTCTTCCTTCCTCATCTCTCAGGTGACTCTGAACAACGTGGAAGTCTGCAGTGAAAACATCTCCACTCTCAAGAAGACTCTGGAGGTACAGGGGAAATTGTCTATGAGCTTTCAGCAGCTGTAGCTACCCAGTGTGAGAGAGAGAGAGCCCTATGAACCATGCCGGTGGGGACACATGCACTCCCTGACATATAGCCATACTTGCCGGGTTTCATTGTGATTGATAGGGTAGAAAGGCCTCTATGGACCTGTGAGGAAAGCTCTAGCACAGGAGTTGGGAGGTCAGAATTCAAATCATATCATCTAACACATAGTGTTGGCATGTGACAAGTTCTATAACTCCCTGAGCCTCAGTTTTCTCATCTATAAAATGAGATACAGATCTCCACTCAGCCCTATTTTTGGTTTTTGGGTGCTCTAATGAAAACAGGGTTGAAAAGTTGATTTTAAAAAGTTATTTTTAGAATCAACAGTAAGACTACTCAGAACAGTTTAAAATTTTTGTTTTTATAAACCTAGAGAATATTCATTATAACATAAGTTAAATTACTGTGCTTTAAGTAATGTAACATAGTTCTTTCATAATATACAGTTAACTTGTTAGATTTATTTTACTTCTGAATTCTAGAAATTACTTCATTTTATTTCAAAATTTTCAAGTACATAAAACATGGAATAGTAAAAATCTAGCTTCAGTCTTTGTCCTTTGCACCCTATTTCTTCATTTATAATCATTTAAAAGTGGATGGCTTTTAATAAAATTTGTTTTAACAAATTACTTGATTTGTCAGGCGTCGGTGGCTCACGCCTATAATCCTAGCTACTTAGGAGGTTGAGATCTGAGGATCATGGTTCAAAGCCAGCCCAGACAGGAAACTCCATGAGACTCTTATCTCCAGTAAAACCATTCGGAAAACCAGAAGTGGCGCTATGGCTCAGGTGGTAGATCCTTTGCCTTGAGCTGAAGAGCTAAGGGACAAAGCCCAGGCCCAGAGTTCAAGCCCCATGACAGACAAAAAAAAAATTATTTGATTTGGGCTGGGCATGTAAACCAGTAGTAGAACACTTGCTCAACATGTACAAGGCTGTTGATTCAGTCCCCAGCACTCACTGCAAAAAAATAAAAACAAATGGAAAAGTACTTTTTATAACAAAGCTCTCTATAAATGTAAGAAATTAAATAAAGTTCACCAAACCTTGCACAAAGTCAGTTGCTATGTTAGTTTTGGTATATGGTCTTTGTTGTTGTTCCTTTAGTACATACCAGGACTTGAACTCAGGGCCTCACACTTGCTTGGCTAACTTGATCTGCTGGTATTCTACCACTTGAGCCATGCTTCCAGCTCAAATCTCCACTTGATATAGATGCGTTCAGTTGTCTAAAGCCATGTTCTCCCCTAGAGTGACTGCACCAAGCTCTTCAGCCAGGGCATTGGAGGAGAGCAGGCTCAGGCCAAGTTTGACAGCTGCCTTTCTGAGTTGGCTGCAGTGTCCAACAAATTCCGAGACCTTTTGCAGGTAAGCCCCAGGTTGAGCTGCTACCTGGAGGTGACTGGTTTCCCATGGCCTCCACGGAGCACAGGAGGAGGGAGAAGCATGTAAGCCACCGAGTTATATAAATCCCTTGAGACTAAAGGCTTTTCAGCAGCACAGTTGTCAGATTGACAAACCAGGATCTGACCAATCTCCACTTGGCCCCCAAATGGCAAGAGGGTTCAGAAAGATGCCCAGAAGAAATGAACAGTGTGGTGACCTGTTCTTGACCTTAATCCCAGGTACTGCCCAGCACCAGACACTATGGAATCTTTTCAGAGCTAGGATAATCTCACGACTCATCTGGTCCTGAATCTTCATAGTTGTGTAAAAGATGATCTGGCCTCTATTAACATGATCCCTTCTCTGCTTCCCACGGGGCCTGTAGAGAACCTCAGCTTCGATAGGACCCTGCAGTTGAGGGAGGGGTGGGTTTGTGTCTGATTGTCTCTGTGCTGTCCTACAGGAAGGGCTGACGGAGCTCAACACCACAGCAGTCAAGCCACAGGTTCAGCCTTGGATCAACACCTTTCTCTCCGTCTCTCATAACATCGAGGAGGTCAGCCAACAGCTACAAGCCCAGTCTTCCTCAGCCCCCAAATCCAAGGAGGGCAGTGGGATCATGGGAAGAGACTAGACCTTACGTGCTGCCCAGCTCACGTTCCTCTCCGTCAAAGACTAGGCACCTCCCAGGAAATGGTTGGCTTTAGTCAGAAGAGCTCAAAGAGACATGTGACAAGAGTTTGCCTTGACCTTACTCATCTTATATCAAGGCTCTTGTTAGCCTACTTTACAGAGACTTAGCAGCTTTCTTTCCCTGACCTAGTGAGTCACCCCAGTACAGCATGAACTGCAAGAGGGAACACATGGCCAGGAACCTTGCCCCAGTGTGTGCGGCTGCTGCCCCCCAGAACTGTTTGCTGGGTAGAGGTACAGTGCCCTAGCAGTTACTGCCAGCCTGGAACCCAAGCTAGTTTTAAACTGGTGGTGTCAAAAGCTAATGGGAGGAATGACCTCTTAAATCATTTGCCTGAAAGAGCTGAGGCAGGTGGAGGTAAATGATAACTAGGGAGAAAGAAGCTCCTGGTAATTCCCCCCTTGCTTTCTGACAATAGGAAGAATTCAATGACTATGAGGCCAATGACCCCTGGGTACAGCAATTCATCCTAAACCTGGAGCAGCAAATGGCAGAATTCAAGGTGAGTGGGTACTTGTGGAATTACCATCTCTGCCCTTACCAGCAGCCTGTGGCTATTCATTATAGCTCTAAGACTGCAAAAACCCTACCACACCCCAACCTCTGAAACACCCCTCATGACCCCACATCACTGTCCCCTGCCACTGAGGACTGCAGTGTAGAGGTAGAGGGGCTTGGAGGGACCTCCACTGATGTCAAGCCTCTATGCAGGCCAACCTGTCTCCAGTCATCTATGACAGCCTGACCGGCCTCATGACAAGCCTTGTCGCCGTCGAGCTGGAGAAAGTGGTGCTGAAATCCACCTTCAACAGGGTAAGGTCAAAGGGGCAAGCCTGAGGAAGACAAGCCATGCCACCCTAGGATTTGTGTCCTCTCTACTACTTGAAGGCCTTGCATATCCTCACCCAGTCCTGTCCTGGCTTTTGAGACACTAGAACAAACTAGAGCCACAGGGTACCACCTGAGGCCAAAATACCCTTGCCTTGCAGGTCTTCTGGTCACAAGGCAAGGCTTTATTGAAAATAAGTTTAAGGGGCTGGGAAGGTGGCTCAGTGGTAGAGCGCATGCCTTGCATGCATGAGGCCCTGGGTTCAATTTCTCAGCACCACATAAGCAGAAAAAGCCTTAAGTGGCACTGTGTGGCTCAAGTGGTAGAGTGCTCGCCTTGAGCTGAAGAGCTGAGGGACAGTGCCCAGACCTAGAGATCAGGCCCTACAACCAGCAAAAAGAAAAAGGAAAAAAAAAAATGTTTAAATAGGGCTTGTGTTTTCCCATAGCTGGGTGGTCTGCAGTTTGACAAGGAGCTGAGGTCACTCATTGCTTATCTCACAACTGTGACAACTTGGACTATCCGAGACAAGTTTGCCCGGCTTTCCCAGATGGCTACGATCCTCAATCTGGAGCGGGTATGTGGGGCACCCTCAGCCTAGCCAGGAAATGGTGACTGGAAAAATGCAAAGGAACCCTGCAACTCCCTCATGCCCACTAGCAATCCAGCTCCGCAGGGCACCTTTTCCCTTCCCTCAGGATAGTCCCTGCCCCGCTGACTGGTTTCTGTTCTTCCTCACAGGTGACAGAGATTCTAGATTACTGGGGTGCCAACTCTGGCCCTTTAACTTGGCGCCTCACTCCTGCTGAAGTGCGCCAAGTGCTGGCTCTGCGCATAGATTTCCGCAGTGAGGACATTAAGAGGCTGCGCCTGTAGATGATAGGGGGAGTCCACCTGGCTCTTCAAAGCTCAGGGCCTACTCCCTGAGTAGCCCCAGACAAACGGGTGAGCTCCCAGCACAGACTGTACCACTGCTGAGAGCCAGAAAACAAGGCCTGGCCACCCCCTCAGACCTGACTGGGTGGGACTTTAGAACAACCTGTCCCCATTGAGAGAAGTGGGAGAGCCAGGGCAGACAGCAGACAGCCGTCAGCGTTCCCGCCCCTGGGCCTTCTCACTCTCACACTACAGCAATGGCACTGCCCCTGCCAGCCTTGGAGAGCATCCGGGGACTTGGAATTGGGTTTCACTTCAAGGCGAGGTTGATGCTAATGAATAAACATCAGAATAAGACACTGCTTGGAAAGGTCTGTGTGCTGATTCCAGTGAGGGCTAGCTGCCCCGGGGCAGGGCAGGGTGATACCAGTGCCACTGAAACATGGAGTCAAATGCTGGAGACCTCAGCTTCCTCCTGCACCTAGGATAGTGCCCATCCACATCCAGGACCCATATACCATGAGCCTTCAGAAGCTGGATCACCCCAGGGCCAGCATCACTCCTGACAGGGAGAAAGCTTTCTAAGGACAGCCTTGAAGGGCAGAGTTGAGTTTATTCCATGCATGTCAGTGTTGAAAACTCACTGCACACAGGGTCACTGTCCATAGTGTTGGCATAGTAAAGGTGTAGGTTGGCAAGGATTTGCCAGTAAATGGAATGGAGCCCACCCCCACAACCGCTCATTCTAGCTGAGGAGAGTGGAGCATGGAGACCCTAAAACTCTAAGGCAGGCCTCTAGGGTCAGTCTTACCGAGGGACCCTATGGCTGGTTGCCATCGTGTTCTTTCAGGCCTTAGCGGAGAGAGGAGTGCGCTGGGCCACAGTCCTTTAGAAAGGCTACATGGATACTGAGCTTAGGGTCTTCCTGGGTCCGCTCCAGAGTCTACAGTCCTCTCCACTGCCTTGCTTGTCCACATCTTGCTTCCTCTGTGAGCAGACCCAAAGAGGTAGGTGGGAAGTAGCAGGCTGGGTGCTCCCACAGAAGGGAAAGGCGGCCGTAGCATTATTTCTTGCCTGCTTCAGAAGGCCCACGCCTCGTGGAGGTGGGTGTCAGGTGAAGGCTAACTCCCCAGCAGCTGCAGGCTCAGGCCCTGCATGTCTACCTCCACCAGGTGGACGCTGTAGTTGCCAAGGCCCTGGATAGAACAGAAGATGTTTAGAGGGCTCTGAGCAAGTCTTAGGCCTCTTGGGGCAGCAAAGCCCAAAGGGCCTGCGTGCCTCCCCTAGTGAGTTGGAAAGCCACCTGGGGGCCTTTCCCTACTACTAACCCCATCACGTACCTCAGTCTTGGCTAGCACAGCCTCTACAGCCTCCTTCTGCCGTGGCTCCTTGGTCAACACATAGAGAAAGCCCCCACCACCAGCCCCTGCCAGGCTCTGGCCATGCACGTAGGGGGCCAGGACATCCATCATTCTCCGCACAGCTAGGGGCTCAGAGCCTGGAGCCATGAGCTTCTTCTGCTCCCAGTAAGAAGTCAGGTACTGGCCCAGCAGAGGCAAGTTTCCTACAGTTGGCACAGAGAGGAATGTGATATTTGAACCAACACCTATCCATAGAGAAATGAAGTGGCAAGAGGCATTTCACTGTCAGGGTTTAGTCCAGGCTCAACACTGGGTGGAAGCAATAATAAGGACCATAGTACAGGCCTGACGACTGATGTGTACAAAGTAGCCAACCCACACAGTGCCCAGCACAATATCAAAAACTACGTAGCCACATACTTGGAGCCACATACTGAAGGGGGTTCAACATCCCGGCCAGTCAAGCATAAGGCAGAGCCTCTTTCCTTGTCTGCTGCCCAGTAGGTGGCACTGGAGGAACTTTCTCATAAGGCAGGCTTTGTCCCGACAAGTAGCCCCCACGTATGAAACCAAGGAGAGGACAGGAGGCTCCTAGGAGCCTATTATCTGGCTTGTGCCAAGCCTGCAAAAGTCCCTGGCTGAAATAAGGCCTTCATTCCAAAGCCCCTGACCTCTGCTGGAAGAAGCACCTCACCTTGGTGGAAGGCTTCAGCACATTCTTCAGCCTGTCTTACCAGGCTGTGGGCATTCTGCACCACAGCAGGCAGCCGGGCATACCAGCTCCTCAGTACATCCTGCAAGCAGAGCAGGGCAGATGCAGTGAGGATCAGGCCTTGCTGAGCTATCTGCCTCCCTCCTCACTCTGGGGCTGGGCTCACCTGTAGCAGATTCCGTGCCAGGCGGGTCTTGCCAGTGTACACTAGCAGCAGGTGGTCATTGAGCTTCTGGACAAAGCCCTTGGGCACAGTGATCTCTTCTACTTCCACCTTCAGTGGCAGCTGGGCCTGGGAGCGCCCCACTTTGATACCAGGCATTAGACCACCCACCTGGTCCTGCCAACCACCTCCTGTGAACCCACAGTGTTGTTACTGTTGAGACTTATCTGGTCCAATTTCACTCCCCCAGCCCAAGCTTATGATCCTGAGCTTCTGGCTGGGACAGCATCCTCCAACTCCAGCTGAAACAAGTGAGCTTTGCAGCTTCTGGCAGCAGACCAAAACCAGCAAGGCAGAGGAGCTGCAATCTGGGGCCAAGCTTGGCATTCACAAAGCCCAAGTTGCTTTGCAGACTAAATAGGTAATTGGAGCTGGAGTAAACCACACTAACTTCCACCCACCTAAGGTTATGCAGCCAGAGGAGCCAGAAGAAAGGGGCTTGGACTTCCCTGTAGCCTACTGGTCCCCTGTGCCCTATCTTCTGCTTATATTAGAAATAAGCTTTATGGCTGGGGACTAGTGGCTTCTATCTGTAATCCTAGCTACTCAGGGGGCTGAGATCTAAGGATTGCAGGTTCAAAGCCAGCCGGGCAGGAAAGACCTTGAGATTTATTTCCAATTGACCACCAGAAAACGAAGTGGAACTGTGACTTAAAATGGTAGAGTGTTAGCCTTTAGCAAAAGAAACTCAGGGACAGCACCCAGGCCCTGACCCAAAAAAAAAAAAAAAGATTTTTGGCATATCCCACTTTACTTGAAAGAGCTGTATACATCTTGCTTGCTCTGGCTGCTCTACATTGTACTCAGATTCCAAGGTGCCAGAGGCCAGAAGGAGAGAAACCTGGCACCAGGAGCATCCTATTCGATATATCCTTGGCTAGGCACCTTCTTGCTGCCCTACCATATGGCAGGAAGAATGGGAGGGAGGAGGATAGAAGGGCAGATTGAAGGTCCATCCTCCACTCCAAAGCCAGCTCTGCCCCACAAGCTCTGAAGGGCAGCATGAAGGGGGACAGAATCATGAAAACAAGCCATTAGTGTCAACAGTGCCTTATACATATAAAGGTACAGCAACTTCAGAACTCAGTAGGCATTTACAAGACTCTTGCCAGGCGTTGGTGGCTCACGCCTATAATCCTAACTACTCAGGAGGCTGAGATCTGAGGATCGTGGTTCAAAACCAGCATAGGTAAGAAAGCCCATGAGACTCTTATTTCCAATTAGCAAAAAAAGCTGGAAGTAGTAGAGTGCTAGCCTTGAGCTAAAAGCTAGGGGCAGCACCCAGGACTTCAGTTCAAGCCCAGTTCAAGCACCAAAAAATAAATAAATAAAAACACATAAGCTACTTCAAGATAGAACATTTTAAGTTGCAAATGACCAAAAGTCAAAGTGAAGCCAGGCGCCAGTGGTTTACATCTAGCTATTTAGGAGGCTGAGAGCTGAGGATCGTAGTTCAAAGCCAGCTGGGGCAGGAAAGTCTGTGAGACTCATCTCTAATTTACCACAGAAACTGGAAATGGAGCTGTGGCTCAAAATGGTAGAGTACTAGCCTTGAGGGAAAAAAAAAAAAACCTCAGGCCCTGAGTTCAAGTCCTATGACAGAGAAAAAAATAAGAAAGAAATACCATGCAAATCCAGGAGAAAAGCCCTTGGGAAAATATCAGCAACCTCTCCCCATCCCAAGCTCTCTTGTACCTGTGGTAAGCACCTGCTCCAAGTGCAGCACCGCGTGGATCAGGGCCTCTGTACTCACCAGCTGGCCCGCAGCCCGCTGCAATGCAGCCAGTGCAGCGCCAGCCAGGATGCTGCTGGTTCCTACAGGGCACAGAGAGGAGTACCAGCCATGAACCATCTCTCCCCAGCCCATCTTACCCCACACCCCCTCTGCTGCACAGAGGGGGGCACAGGTGAGATTGAAGAACTGGGACTGGACCCACTCACCAAGACCAGAGCCATGGGGAAGCTCAGACCAGGTGTGGAGCTCAAAGCCACCCCCAAAGTTGTGCAGCAGTTGCTCCTGCAAGGAGAGCTCAGAGCGGACGTGTACAATCCCAGCACAGATAAAGGCTGCCTTCAGCAGTGCCCCTGCGGAGGGATGGGGTCAAAGCAAAGAATTCCCCCTCCTCAGACTCCACCTCAGCCCTCCACCCCCTGCAATTTCCCTGTCCAGGGTGCTGTTTCATTGGGGGTGGGGGGGAACGCGGGAAAAAAGCTCAGCATCAATTGCAGGCCTCAAGCCACTAATGGACATCTAGACTCTCTAACACAAGCAAATGGGTCATTGCTTTTTCCTACGCCTGTTGGTGCATAGATGGGGTGAGTTCTACCCTTCTCTTTCTTTTGGGGCTCCTCAACTACTCTGGCTGGCTCTCAGGCCTCCATGACCTTCAATTCTGACCTGGAGCATGGGGTTGGCAGTAATCCTGCAGGTCGTCCAGGCTCCGGCACACTATTTTCGTGGCCATCTCATCCTTCTGATGTCCCATGGCCAACCACAGCTCAGGCTCCGTGATACGGCGGGCCCTGGCCCCAATGGGGCGGCAGCCATCCACTCGCACAGCCAGGCCCAGAACTGCCCCACCAAACTCGTAGGCAATGGGTGGGGTGTCACTCCAGCCCCCTATGGCAGTTCAACAAGCTGGTCACGCCACCTGCCAGCCTGAACCTTAGGGGACTGGGTAACCCACCCATCCCTATAGGGGTTCACCAGAGAAATCCACGCGGGCTGGGCACTCAGCCATCACCCACTGCCCCGGTGCTGGCAGCTCTACTGGCTCCATGGAAACGAAGTGCTGAGCTGTCATCACCGCATGGCGGACCAGGATCTGTTCGGCCCCCTCATAATGGCGGGCAGCTCGCACCAGCAAGGCTGGCCTGCGGGGAGGGAAGGAAGCTAAAAACACACTGAGGGCCTGAGAGTGACCCGACCTCCTTCTGGGCTTCCACCATCAGGGGCCATGCCCCCAGGGGGTTTCTCAATGCCATTCTGACTTCTTCGATTAGCTACCCACCTGCTCAGCCACTTGTCCCTCTCCTGAGCAAGTGCCCTTACTCCCCGTGAAA